TGTTGCTGCTGCTGCTGCACCCGAAGGTAAGCATCAACCAGACGCAGCAACAACAGCAGCAGCAACAGCAGCAGCAACAGCCGCAGCAACAGCAGCAGCAACAGCAGCAGCAACAGCAGCAGCAACAGCAGCAGCAACAGCAGCAGCAACAGCAGCAGCAGCAGCAGCTGTAGAAACATCACTTAACTCGAAAAAGCGAACAACCGATGAAAGACCAAAACAAGCGTTTAGGGTTTAGGGTTTATGGTTTAGGGTTTAGGGTTTAGGGTTTAGGGTTTAGGGTTTAGGGTTTGTGTTTGTTGAATTGTAAGAAGCGACGGAGGGTTTGTCTCCGCGTGTAAGCGGCAGCCAAACAGAAGAAAAAGGAAACAAAGAAAACCACCAAACCACAAACCCTCAACACTTCTCCCTCGGTCAGCTCAAACCCTAAACCCTAAACCCTAAACACTAAACCCTAAACCCTAAGCCCAAACCACAAACCCTCAACACTTCTCCCTCGGTCAGCTTAAACCCTAAACCCTAAACCCTAAACCCCAAACGCTTAACCATCAACAGTCAGACCTAAACACTAAACCCCAAACCCTAAACCCTAAACCCTAGTTTGTTTTTTTGGCTGTATACTAGGCTTTTATTTGTTTGTTTGTCTTTAGTTATTTGTTTTTGTTTACTAGTTTTTCATTATTCTATATATATATTCAAAGCTGCTGCTGCTGCTGCTGCTGCTGTTGCTGCTGCTGTTGCTGTTCCTGCTGCTGCTGCTATTCCGGCCACTCCGCCACTACTTCTGCTGCTGCTGCTGCTGTTCTTGCTGCTGCTACTGCTGCTACTGCTGCTGCTACTACCACTACTGCTGCTGCTGCTGCTGCTGTTACTGCTACTGCTGCTGCTGCTGCTGCTGCTGCTGCTGCTCAGGTCGTGTGTGGGCTGAGCGGGTGGAGAATTTGGAGGAAGAAGAAATTCAGTTTTTGTCGGGGCAGTGGAAAATCCTCGCCGACGGATATCTCAGCTCGCTTGCACAGGCAGGGTTTAGGGTTTAGCGTTTAGGGTTTAGGGTTTAGGGTTTGGGGTTTGGGGTGAGACTGTGGTGGGTTTGTTTGTTTATTGGTTTATTTGTTTTTGTTTGGGGTTTTTATTTTTATTTAAGTTTTTGCTTTTTTCGTATTGAAAAAACAATTTGGTGTTTTTTGTACTATTTCTTTTATTTCTTTTTTTTTTAATGTTTTTTATCAGCGGAAACTCAAATTAAAATAAATAAACAAATAAAATAAATAAATAAATAAATAAATAAATAACTTTGTTTCTTTGTTTGTTTTAGTTTTTCGATTGGGTGAGCAGTTTCAGTGTGTCTTTATCTGAAATTCAAAAAAACATAAATAAACAAAACGAAAAAAAAACAAACAAAAACCAACTAAATAAATAAAAAACAACAAACTAAATAAATAGTTTAACTATTTATTTATTTATTTATTTATTTTGTTTGTTTTTTGTATTTTTTCGACTGGGTGAGCAGTTTCAGTGCATCTTTATCTGAAATTCAAAAACCCACGGCTAAACAAAACGAAAAAAAGCCGAACAAAAACCAGCAAAACAAAAAAATAAACAACAAAACAAATAAACAATTAATAAATAAATAAATAAATAAATTTATTTTGTTTTTTTGTTGCAGTTTTTCGACTGGGTGAGCAGTTTCAGTGCATCTCTATCTGAAATTCAAAGAAACACAGCTAAACAAAACGAAAAAAACCCGAACAAAAGCCAAAAAAACAAAACCATAAACAACAAAACAAATAAATAAATAAATAAATAAATTTATTTTGTTTTTTTGTTGCAGTTTTTCGACTGGGTGAGCAGTTTCAATTCATCTCTTTCAGAAATTCAAATAGAAATTCAAAAAAATTTCGCTCGAAGAATTTCAACTTCTTTTTGGGCGAAAAATTTAATTTCCGATTTCTGCGATTTTTATAAAAAAACAAAAATTTTGCTCGGAGCTGCGGTGAAACAGACAAATATAAAAGTATGTATGTGTTTTTTTTTTTTTTTTTTTTTTTTTTTTTTTTTTTTTTTTTTTTTTTTT